ATTCTAATTATACTTGGAGAAGAGTACAAGTTATGAAGCCCCCACTGTGCAGTTTTTCCAACCTCCTGTTACTTCAGCTCTCTTCAGTCCAAATATTCTCAACACCCTCAGTTTATGTTCCTTCCCTAATCTTTAAATGCTGAACATCTGAAATGTTTGTAGCTTGAGCTGGCCAGAGTTTATTTAAATGCCCACTGTTGCTCTGTGTTTAAATGCCCATTTCTGTAAGGCGCTTGCACTGTATTTGAAAATGCTCTATCTAACACAATTTTTATGATAAAAGAATGGAATTAACATTGTTTTTATCAGCGAAGAATACAGTGTCGCATATTATAACACAAGATTTGAAAGTATGTAGACAAACGTTATAAACTATTTTAAATTTTTTCTTGCAGTTTTGATGCATACTGTAAAAATAATTTTCCCATTTCTTCACATAGTAGTTCTGCCTTATTATAATAATTACTGCTTGTAACACTTGAAATATTTTTGCATTCTCTTGTGCCATAAAACAGTTGGAAGCAATAAAGTCATTTGGTTCTATGCTGGCAAGTTTCACATATTTGTCACCCTCTTCAGATATTCCAGTATTATGATTAAACAGAAAAGTAACACACAGCCTTTCAAGAAAGACTATATGGAATATTAATTTTTTCCTACTTCAGTGCCAAGCCCTGCCATTGCAGCTGCAAGAGAATATTGCCCTTTCTATGGTTGCATCCAAACGCTTGCATCACAGCTGAGATACAGAGTGAATTCACTTTTCTGTGAGTTAGCAGTGAATTTGAATATTGTAGTTTCATTTTCCCATACAGTGACAATGAAACGTTGTTCAGAAGATGATGAAATTGAAAGGAAGTTGAAATGCAAGATATGTGACGCGAGACTGTGCTTCCTTGGGTGCTTCAAGGAGTATCACACAAAGGCGAGATTCAGTTACATGACATGGGTTGAAACCTGTATATATGTCGAGCAGATAACAAAAAAGTATGTATACTGAATTTTACTGTACTTAATAATAAATATTTAGGATCATGCATGTTTCTACTAGTGGTGTGTGCATGAGCTTCCACTAGCAGCATATAAACACATGAATGCACAATTCAGGGTACTTTCGCTATGATGACCATACGGATTTGTGCACTCTAGACATTAAATGTTAATGTCAGAGACCAAGTTTCACACCCATGCAGAACCATAAGCAAAACTGCAGTTTCGTATATTTTAATTTTTGTTTTAGACAGACAAAAAGACAAAAGGTTCTGGACTGAATGTTAGCAAGCATTACCTGAGTTCAATCTCCTCTTAATTTCCTCCTGAATCAGGTTTTGATTTGGTATCATCATTCCCAAATATCTCAACTGTGCAACATTTTCGAAACATGTTACCTATCTTTATGGCCATGGGGATTCGTTGCGCTGACCATGTGACACCCTCTATCCGCTAAAGTTGGCACTAACATCGCCGACAAGCAGCGGTCACTCAGTCAGTATAGTTCACTTGCAGACTTAAACCACGGAGTTTGTATTTTTTGGTTAAATATCTTTATGTCATGATTTAGCCCTGGATTTTGGTGATGACAGCAATGTATACTTAGTTTTCTCTGTATTTACTTCTAGACCAACCTCCTTACTAGCGTCAATTACAGTTTCTTTGTTTTTCTTTATATTTATATTATCACCCAGTAGATTCACATCAGCAGCATAGACCGGCAGCTGATGTGTCCCGTTTAATTTCAGTTCCACCTGGTTTTCTTGGACCTTCTTGGATTCGTTGCGCTGACCATGTGACACCCTCTGTCCACTAAAGTTGGTACTAACATCGTCGACAAGCAGCGGTCACTCAGTCAGTATAGTTCGCTTGCGGACTAAAACCGCAGTTTGTATTTTTTTCGTTAAATATCTTTATGTCATGATCTTGCCCTGCATTTTGCTGACGAGACAGCAATGTATACTTAGTTTTCTCTGTATTTACTTCTAGACCAACTTCCTTACTAGCGTCACTTAAAGTTTCTTTGTTTTTTTTATGATATTTATATTATCACCCAGTAGATTCACATCAGCAGCATAGACCAGCAGCTGTGTCCCATTTAATTTCAGTTTCACCTGGTTTTCTTGGACCTTCTTACTTGCAAGTTCTAAAGCAAATTTGAAAAGGAGTGGCAATAAAGTATCTCCTTATTTTAGTCATTAACAACTTTTTTAGGCCTCAGAAAATTGGTAATAAGGAAGAGGCGTTAGGCAAAACCGAAGGTGCTTTTGCGTATCACACAGTTTCACTCAATCATGGTTTGTGTCCATGGATTGTATGTCAAAGCTACTCCAGACAACATCAGAGCCCAAATTTGCATGTGCTCATACCAAAGCAGAAGCCATTAATTTGAACGTGTATGAACCTCATGTTTTAAATGTATTGCAGTGTGATCTGGAAAAGGCTAGGTTTATTTCACTACTGACTGATGCATCCAATTATGAAGAAATAAAGATTTTTCCCATGTTTGTCAGGAATTTTGATTACAAAAGTGGAGTGAAAATTAAAATATTAGAGCTAAAATCATTGTGCAGTGAAAAATCTGTTATTGTGATTATTTGGTGACTGTCTAACAGAAAATTGTTTAGTAGGAAAAGTTGTTGAACTGTATGCTGATAACATGAATTCTACATTTGCAGGTGTTGAAAGGAAAGGCCTAAATAATGTTTTCAACAAACTGCAGCAAAACCTTGGGTATGGTCTCACAGGTGCTGGGCATGCAGGCCATATTTTCCACAACATTGTTTGAATAGCTACTAATACAGGGTGGGGCGCAGAAACTTCCTTTTTGTGAAGACGCATTGTGAAGGGAGGGGAGGTCACAGAAAAGTGGGGATAGGCTTGGCGAACGCAGCAGTCGCAGAAGTTTCTGTCTAATACCCCTCAGAAGGAAACATGAGGTGGTCGAGTGAACAGCGTGCGTTTGCTGTCGAAGCCTATTTTTCGAACAACCATTCTTACGTGGCGGTGCAGCATGCGTTCCGTGCTCACTTTGGAATTAAGCCCAGAGGTCCGGTCCCCGACCGGAAATCGACTGTTTTGTGGGTAGAGAACTTTAGGGCAACCGGGAGTGTGGTGAAAAAATCATCAGGATGACAACGCACCGTTAGGACGCCAGAAAATGTGGAAGGCAGTTCGACAGTCGATTTTGAGATCTTTTTCGAACCAGCTCTTGAAGAAATGCATCTAGGAAATATCTGGTTCCAACAGGATGGTGCCACGGCCCACACAGCCCGGCTTCGATGACAGTTTTGAGGGCAAAGTTCCCCGGATGGCTCATCTCCCTTCGAGGTGACATCCTGTGGGCAGCGCACTCACCTGGTACAACGCCCTGTGATTTTTTTTATGGGGATACCTCAAGGCAGAGGTTTTTAAACATCGCCCCACAAATCTGCTTCAGCTGAATGTTATTTGGCAGGAAGCAGCCCAAATTCTGGTGCACATGTTGGAACATGCAGAAGGGAACTTCAGAAAACGGTTGCATCAGTGCACAGAGAACAGTGTCCACCACCTTCAAGATATTTTGTTTAAAACTACATGATTTAAAACTTTAAAGTATGTTCTTTCATTAGCTAAACATAAATTTTGTCTATCAGCAATAATTTTTCTTTTATTCGCCTTCAAACACAGGAAGTTTCTGCGCCCCACCCTGTATTTTGCCTGTTGCTGTAGAGATGATGGGCTCCAAAATATGTTTGTACTTCAGATCTTACAAAATCAGAATTGAAACTATGAAGGACTTCTGTGACTTTGTAGAAAAAGAGTTTGAGATAAGGTTGGGTTATGCTCGAACAAGGTGGCTAGAACTACTGCCTGCTGTTGAAAGGGTTCTTAAATTTTCCTTGCCTCTGAGATTATATTTTCAGTCTCAGGGCAAATGACCATTGTTTCTACTAAATTTCTTTGAAAACTGTCTGAATTATGACTGTACTTTGTTCAGTCAAGCTGCATCTTTGCATGAAGCAGTGAAATAGTGGGAGAGTCCCAATATTTGAAGTAATTGAACACATTAATGGGCTGAAAACTACTTTGATGTTCAAACTTGAACATTGTTTCCTTTCTTCATTTGGACGGTCCTTGGAAAACTGGAAACAGAGGGAGAACTACTTCAAGAAGAGGTACAAAAGTTTCCTGTCACTGCAGTCCCATTCTCCGAAACTTCTCTGAGTTACTTTAAAAGACTGGACTAAAAAGCTTAGGATCTGAAATCCTACAGCTGGTTAATCTTGAACAGTACTTCATCTCATGTGATTGAAACTGTAAGGTCTGTTCAGTCAGCTGAACAGGAAATGTACAGTAAGTTATGTCTATGTGAAGTAGTTTGTAACCGAGGAAAATTTTTCTGAGTGGACTGCTAACAAAAGTTTGCCAGCTCAAAGATGTGTTGAAATGGTCTATCCCTTCAACCTTAACAATGCTCCTTTCTCAAATGTACTTAAGTTAGCAGACTTCCTTTTCTGCATTCCTGGAACCAGTGCTGCCACTGAAAGGGTATTTTCCCTCATGCATATGACATGGACCAGTGATAAAACTCAGTTTGGTATGAACACTGTGAAGGCAGTATTAGTGACTAAGGTAAATTATGATGAAACTTGGGCTGTTTTTAAAATGCTTCTGACAAAGAAAGACCTTAAGAAATATCACAAATCTGAAAAATACAGTAGCTTTGCTTCTTATTATTATTATAGGAAGGATGACAACAGTACTTTTACTGTATATAATAGGCTTTCATTGTAAACTATTTTTTGTGTCTGTAAAAATTAAACATTATCAATGGCCTTTTACTCCTTCCTCAACATTTGTGAGCTGTCCTGAATATGGGGCTGGGAAATCTGGTCATCTTATGTTTAGGGCTATTTTTTGCTTCATTAATCCATATGACCTCACTTCCAATTAATTCAGATTAGTAAGGGTTTACTGTTAACTGTATTCATGAACATAGCCACTTTCTGACCACACTTAACAATAACTAATCTCAGGAACTGGCGTTTTTATTACCATTCAATTATACAGAATCAAATACAATCATGCTTGCAGAACATTTGAATTTTTAACATGTTCAAAGAGCTATGTGGTTTGTACAAGAGAGGTTCTCAACAGAAGTCCTGAAGATGAAGGTTCAGTCCATTTACTGTGTGGCTGATGATAAAATCTGATTCATCTGTATTATCCAGAACTGAAAAAGTTTCAGATTGAATTGGAAATATGCACAGTGTCCCATGTGAAGAAATTCAAAGGTCAAAATATATTCCAGTTGGTAAAGGTTACCATCTTCCTCAATTACTAGATATCCCTATTTGTGTGACTTCCATATTTATGAATTCCAAAACAAGATGCATGCTGAAATGCAACTATATTGTGTGGAGTTAGTTTTATGAAGGCAGTCAATGTTTGGTGGTCCAGTAGGATGTGTGCAAGTCAAAATATGCTGATTTCATCAGGGCACTGAAATGCAGCAAGATTTTCACGATTGGTTTTCTCAACTGACTCTAGAATTCTGCAAGAAAGGCATCCATCAGTTGGTGACCTGACAGATGAATGTTTCAATTCTTTTGTTACTGGGGTGAATACACCACTAACTTCCCTTGGGCAAGTTTCTATGGAACCCCTCATAATACAAACAATTCCACAGTACTGTCATAAAAAAGCCCTTATTTTCGAAAAAAATAAATTCAGAAAATGGCAAATAATGTAATGGATAATAGATTTCCAAATATAAAAATAGTGCCACAAACAGTAATAAACACAGCTATTGCATTTCGCACACTCTTATGTTTAACTTTATGTGCAAGAAGGATGTTGCAAATTGCTTGTATAATATATTGCCCATCAAAATAGAAGCAAGGAATGATGTTTATGATTGCAAGACCAGCTGAGAATACTGATAAATACTTGCACATCTGCATAATTACTTCAGGAATTGCCGGTGGAATGATAGAGTATACTGGCACAAAATCACTAACCCGTACTGTATGATAAACTTCACTTGGATGACCTAGAAAAATTACCATTTTGGCATTAGCACGCTTAATGTATAAAAGTCTTGTGTGATTATCCAGTGAAGGCTTCAAACAATGCAGGCCTACACTACAATCACTAGCTGTTACACATATCTCATCTGTGCTCTCAATCACAACACGGCCAGGTAAACAAGTATGTGGTGGCAGTTCTGGCATATTTTCTTCCTTGTCCAGGTACTCAAAACAGAGATGGTCTGAACTCTTTGCACTGCAGCATTCAATTGCACCACCTGGCAGCTGTTCTGCTGTAAGAGTGACAATGGCATCACTGCAACCTTTCAACTGAAGATCAGTTTCATACTTCTTTTGAAGAATGAAGCTCTTATATATAAACGGTATCTGTAAGAGTAATTCTTACCACCAAAAAAGAAACCATGTAATCCTCATTAGAAAGATCAGTCAATTAATGGGTTTAGGGAAATAATCAGTGTTCACTGTGTGAACCTAACAACACCCATAAATGAAGATCAATGATTCCTGGGACACGACACATTGTACTTTAATAGATAAATACCAACATTTCATAGGAAACTCCAAAACCATCTTCTATCCTGAAGATGGAGGTAGCACATTCCTCCTAAACAGATACCTATTCACCAACTTACATGGCATGACACTCAAGGGAGCATATCTTCATAGTCACTACCATAAGAACTTAACTATTTTCCAACACTTTCACTGGTGCCTAAGGGGCTCCAATATGTACTTCATGCTGTAAGGCGTGCGAGTGTACCTGAAAATATCAGGGAAAATGTACCTACAAATCACAAATTTCCCACTGTATAACACCCCTGACTTCCTATTTAATCTCTGTCATGTATAAATACTGTATTTTATTAGCATTTTGTCATATCATACAATAGACAAAAATGATTTCATTATCTTAATCAAGAAAGGGAACAGAGTAATAGAAGGAAAAGAAGACCACCCACCAGAAATGAGGATTCTTTATGGGAGTAAAATCAAATAAATCACTATTCAGTAAATTTAATTATACTAAAGACTATCATTTCTTGTACATCAACATATCAGAGGTCTTGGGGGCAAAATTGATGAACTGAAGTGTTCAGTAGTAAGCAATAATATAAATCCACACTTAATATGCCTATCTGAGCATCACATGTCAGATCAGAAATTATGATACAGCAAGTTCCAGACCTATGTACTGGGAAAAAAAGTATGCCCGTAACACTCATCGAGGAGGTGGTGTTTATATATTGTAACGTGTCGCGATTCCAGAAGAGTCACTTCTATGGAAACGCTAGAATAGACCGTTGCATAGGAAACAACAATTGCTCTATTGTAGTTCTAACAGGAGTCTCCATGGTTATAACAGAGGGTTCATTTGCCTAGCAGCGGCCGAGGTTATAAAAGCCCAGCTTCGATGAGAAGTCTTCAGTCTCGGAACAGTATTCGAAGAAGAGAGTCTCGGATCAGCCTTCGGAGAAGAAAGTCCCGGAATAGCCTTCACAGGAGCCAGTCGTGGAACAACCGCCAGAGAAGAGAGTCCGGCATCGCCGAATTGTTGTGAGCAGTAGTTGTACCACTGCAAGTGTAAATGATTGTAAAGTGTGTGTAAGGCGAGCGAACGAAATAAACTCGCTATATCAAACAACGGCGTGAACTTATTTGTCGCGTTATACACCCAATGTGTGACAAACTGGTGTCAGAAGTGGGACTGAACTTTAACACGCGTCCTACAACAACAATAAAAAAAAGGGAAAATGGAAATGCAGCAGATAATGGAACTCCTGCTGGCCTGGCGAGAAGAAATGGCTGCAGAAAGAGAAGCCTTCCAAGCAGAAACGAGAGCCATCCAAGCAAGGACGGCCGCCATCCGAGAAATTATGCGCACCAGCCACGAGAAGATTGAGCCCCACCCAGAAGCGATGCAGTCCGTACTGGAGCATCAAGAGGTCCCCGCGGAAGAAGCCACGATAATGTCGGTCGGAGAACCGAGGAAACGGCACAGGGACCGAAAACTGGCCGCGGAGCGCCGCCGCCAGAAAACGAAGGATTTAACGCGGGCAATTCGTGGACCCCCGAAGAAATTGGCCGTTACAAACAGAAAGACATCCCATCGCGCGACAGTGGCACGACGTTGGAGAAAAGATTTCAAGAAGGAAACTCCCAAGGGAACCTTCGGATGCCAGCGGAAAGAAGTGGCCGCCACCGGGTCAAAGATCACAGAAGAAAATAGACGTTGGAAGTATCCTCAATGCAACACTGGCACAAAGGACAGAGGTCTGAAACGGCGACTACGAGTCAGCAACCAATTGAACGACCCAACCAGGAATGCCATCAGAGGGTGTAGATCAGGACAGCAATCACACCTAGGAGGGAGAATTTGTAAGACGACCATCTACGAGATTGTCAGCGTGAAGATCGCGAAGCAAATAGCCGGATCTTCTGTCAGCCTACAAAAGCACAAGAATTGGAACTTATGGAGTGCTCGACCCCCTTCAAAGCGGAAAAAGGGAAACGGCCTTTATGGGAGGAACCGGTAAAGTACCGGCCTCCCCAACAAGGATGGATGAAGAATGAAAGTGAAGGATGAGTGTGATACAACAAGATCGGCAAATTCCCGGCTATGAAAGTGCTCGGGACGAGCACAGCTGAAGAGAGGGGCATATGCTGTAAGACGAACAGCGCAATAAGACTCGCAAAGGACACCAAAGCCGAATGCAGACGTTGGCAACAGAACACCGCGAATCGAAACCGAGGGAGAACCTTTAGGCTGTTCGGGGACGAACAACCTTTAGAAGGGAGCAATGTAACGTGTTGCGATTCCAGAAGAGTCACTTCTATGGAAACGCTAGAATAGACCGTTGCATAGGAAACAACAATTGCTCTATTGTAGTTCTAACAGGAGTCTCCATGGTTATAACAGAGGGTTCATTTGCCTAGCAGCGGCCGAGGTTATAAAAGCCCAGCTTCGATGAGAAGTCTTCAGTCTCGGAACAGTATTCGAAGAAGAGAGTCTCGGATCAGCCTTCGGAGAAGAAAGTCCCGGAATAGCCTTCACAGGAGCCAGTCGTGGAACAACCGCCAGAGAAGAGAGTCCGGCATCGCCGAATTGTTGTGAGCAGTAGTTGTACCACTGCAAGTGTAAATGATTGTAAAGTGTGTGTAAGGCGAGCGAACGAAATAAACTCGCTATATCAAACAACGGCGTGAACTTATTTGTCGCGTTATACACCCAATACGTGACAATATATATAAGATCAGAAATAAAATTTACTGTTATTAATTTAGCACAGTTCTGTGATGAAAAGAACATAGAAATTTGTACACTTAAGATTTTGATAGCTAAAACTAACATATTTGTAATGTGTATATATAGGTCACCTTGTGGGAATTTTGAGTACTTTGTAAATAAGTTGGATAAAATACTCAAGTTACTCTATAAACCAAAAATTGAATTTATAATATGTGGTGATTTTAACATAAATAAATAACGTAAAACACAGTTACTACTGCTGTTGCCATAATATTGTAACATGTTATATCAAATATCAAATACGGCATGAAGTTATTTGTCGCGTTATACACCCAACACGCGACAATATATTTCACATAGTACAGTTCCCAACTAGAATAAATGATGAGACCAAAAGCTCTGCTACTGATAATATTTTTATAGATAATGCAAGGATAAATTCATATGATGTTATCTCTGTTAGTAATGGACTATTGGATCACGATCCTCAGTGTTTCGTACTAAAAAATTTCAATTTTCTAGAGAAGAAAAAAATGCAGGGAATCACAACAAGATTAGTAAATGAAGCTTGAATTGCACAATTTCCTAATAACTATCTAATGAAAAGTGAGAAAATATATGTAAACTTAATGATGTAAATGAAATATTCAATTCGTTTTTAAATAAGTATTTACTTGTCTATGAGTCATGCTTCCTGAAGCAAAATGTAACAAATAAACACAATGATAACAGCTGGAATACATACCTCTTGCAGATGGAAGGAATCTTTGTACATTCTCAGTAGAAGCAAGTTACAACTATATGTTTACATCATACTATGAATAGAACTGCATGATATTCAGTTCAATTCTTTATTATTTATGTGCCAAGTCAACAGCCGCAAGGCCAATTACAGACTTAGCACAGTGTAGATGAAAGTAATTACGTGTAACATTATACAAATATTAGACAAACACATTATAAGTCAAAAATAAATTACAGGAAATTTCTTGGGAAAACACAACAATGAAGAAAAGTAAACAAACAAGCAAATAAATGATAATAATGGCAATAATAATAATAATTTCCTTATCATAAAACTAAGTGTTATTTAGAAGTGAAAAAGAAACAAATATTTAATTAATAATTTTGAATTGTTTCATTTTTGGTCTGTTACACTATCAATCACAAAGTCAATAAAAAGTCCGTCGAGTGTAACAATTTATAGGTCACTTCTTTATCACTTCTGCCTTACATGTTTCGGTTTAATAAAACCATCATCAGAGGCACACAGTACAAGCATGAAAACACTGCCGTTGTTTAAGATGTACACAGTTATGTTTGCTGCGTGAACGCTGCTACAATATGTCGACGTGTAAAAGCACAACACTTGTTAGGATTGTTGAATGCACGTTCAATTCTCGCATTCATCCGAAACTGCCCTCAAGTTAAAACGCCAATGTTAAAATATTTAAAATTTAAAACATTTGAAGTAAAATGTTAAGCTCCTCCTTGTTAATTCATCCCGAAGATGGGAGATGTCAGCTTGAGGATGTATGGCTTATGGTTAGATGTTTCCTATGTGCTGTGTGTTGTGTACTCAGTACACTAGCTATGAGCTACCCTCTATATACATCATTTTCTAACAACATGCTGAAAGAAGTAGACACGATAAAATTTCTTGGTTTGCAGCTGGATAATCTGACTTGTAAGGGATATATAGATTTTTTGCTTCACAAGTTGAGCAAGCTGTTTTTCTAATTCAAAAATTATCTTAAATATATATATAAATATAATATTAACAGTCTTAAAGCTAGTAGTTACTATAGGATTCTGACGATGTCCAAAATCCCAACATGTCAGTCTTAAAGCTGTATATTATGCGTATTATCATTCATTGGTGAAGTATGGAATAATATATTGGGGAAATAAATCAGACAGTCATAAGGTCTTTGTTATGCAAAATAAAATAATAAGAATCATGATGGGAGTGGGCCCAACTCATACATGTAGAGATTTATTTAAAAAGCTTGGCATACTGCCAAT